TTGTGCCCGAGATTCTGTGCCTATGTGTGCTTGTGTATGTGTGTGTGCGAGTGTCCGAAAGGCTGGACGCCTGCGGGCACAATGGCTGAAATGGAAAGTGCCCATTAGGGGATACGAACCACTCACATGCTCATAATTGGAACAGGATTAACAAGGCAGCCGCACATCATGAATGCAATTGCAACAGCGAGCAGCGGTTCCATTGTCCGGCCGGCCTTTTGGGTCCGCTCGATCGGACATGCATTTCCGGACATGCATTCCACACACACTCACACACAAAGAGCGCGCGAACACAATGCGCTGAAAATAATCCGCTTTAAGTCTATAAAAACGTTGCCAAACACAAATGTGGAAATTTCGGGCAATGAAAACTCTATGCAAAATCGTAATCGAAAAATATATAGAAAAATGCTGCAAGTTCCATGCAAAGTGGTTGCAACTGCCGGGTGGCAGGGGAGGCAGCGCCGCAGCGTTTCATTTGCCGGATGTCCCGCTGCACGCGTTTGACCCGCCCGGCACCTCATGTCGGGGCTGTGTGATTATCGACAATCTCTCTATTTTTATATATTTTTTTTTGCTCTTGTTGGCGGTGTCCTTTTTTATGCGAGAGCGCACACGATTTGCATGTTCAGCAGGAGGCCGGCTTATTATTACAGTCCACAATAAGCATTCAAGTATCCCACTTTCACTCTTGATTGACATGTGATTGATGTTTCCATTTTGCAGTGACAGCCTGTCGACCTACGGAAAACGGAAGCCAAAGGCAAGTACAATTGGCATAGAAACTCTTAAGCAAGCCTGTATTGAGGGCAACTAAGTAAATTTGCACAATTAGTTGAATGATTAGGTTTAAACTGATATGGTTCCAGCTTCTTACCCAAGCCCATAATATTTCTTGGGCTTGAAGTCATTAATGATATTACGTTCAGCTTGCAATATTTTCAGTAGAAAGGGGCACATGTTAATTAAAATGTAAGAGCTTCACACCATGTTATAAAATATATGAGAAACTAAGGTCTGAACCGAATTCTGGTTCAAACTTCAAACCGTGAGCCGATAATGTGGCCTGGGCTTGCAGTCAGTAAAGAAAATACATTCAACATCCAACATTTTAGGTACAACGGACAGCTAAAATTAATTATTAAAGTGTGTTATGAACAATTTGAAAATATATGAGAAAATAAGCTTTGAACCGAATTCTGGTTCGAACCTTAAACCGTAAGTCAATTATATTCCTTGGGCTTGCATTCTCCACTAAAAGTATGTACACCTTTAAATTTTTTTTTGTACAGCGGGCACAGGTAAATTAAAAATTGAAGGGCTTCACTCCAAGTAAAAAAAAAAATATAAAATCAAGGTTTGAACCAAAAGCTGGTTCGAACTTTAAGCAATGAGCCGATAATATTTGTTGAACTTGCAGCCCTTAACAAAAGCAAACAAATCTATCAAAATCTTAAACGGCTTGGGAAATCGTCACAGACGCACAGACACTTTTCTAGACCTTCACTTTTAAGTTGTCTACAATAAAATCTTCCTTGTTAAATTCTTTGGTAAATGCATTTTTGAAAGAAATTTTTGGAAATGGTTATTTTAGTATGAAATATTTTGTTTTTATTTATGTCTTTTCATCGTATTTGTATTAATTGTGGTTTTCATTTAGAGATATTTAAGAGATATTTTATATAATTAATAGGAATTTAAGTTGCGTTCAAATAATTTCATTACATTTCCTTTTTTAGATTTACGCATATAATTCGCATATATGTATTTAGTCAATTATGGATTCATATTTGTTTTTGGTTTAGTTTTTTTTTTTTTTGTTGCTTTTTATTTCGTTATTGTGGCATAAAAGGTGAATGACAGAGACATATCGCTAACAATTTTAAATGGATTCAACAAAATACGTTCACTAATTTAAGGTTTTAATTGCAATTTGATTTGTTAATAATGATTGCAAATGAAATTCGCTGCGTTTTTAATTGTGTATGAGAACCAATTTTGTACATTTGTGGATACAAAAACAATTTTCAATCAAGTATATATATATATATAAATAATTATATATACATATATATATATATAGTGTGTATATTAATATGCGTTTACCAATAAATATGAATAACAAAGGCTCTACATGCACTATATACGTAATTAGAGAAATATACAGAGACAGATAAAGATACAGATACAGATACAGATACAGATACAGATACAGATACATATGGAAATATTGATTTGCAATAAAAGTTGACATACATATAAGTACTTATCGAATATATAATGCAATATATTTGGATTTGATTTCTATAATTGATTCATTCATTGTTTTTGTTTTTTGTCTTTTTTTTTTTGTGTGTGTGTTGACCTAAATCAGAGTCACTTATAACACTAAGAAGCAGTCATTTATTCTCCATTTAAATTTACGTGTTGTCGTCACTTTTTTGTTTTTGTGTTTTGAATCCTGAAACAGATTTCAAAATAACTGTACAAGTTGCATCCTCACCAAGGGCATAGTTCGTATAGCTCTCTATAGCTCTTCCGCCTTCCTCTCTCTCTCTCTCTATCTCTCTCTCTCTCTCTCTCTTTCCACTCCCTACCAACTACAAACGTGTGCTATTACAAATATATAATAGTTTATATATATGTATGTATATGTATATATTTATATAAATAATAAGTATATATATTACAATGCGTCAATAAATCAAAACGTATGAAAAACTATTTGTGCTGCCTTGTAAAATATGTTTTTGTTTTTTTTTTAGCAAAAAGTTTCCTGTTGTAAAATATCGAAATGCGGCCAAGCAAATCAATGCTAAAGTTGTTTGTTTTATATTGTATGCATTTTTCTGTTGTATTTGTTGTTGTTGTAATACCCAAAACGCTAAGAGTTAAGAGTATTGTGTATATAGTAATTCATTCAGTCTCAGTCTCACGAATAGGAAAGTATTATTATGCATGACATTTCCTTACATCATTTTATTATTGTTATTCATTTTTAACTAATTAATCAATAAATCAGAAATCATATGAAATCAGTTCGAAAAATTACTTTCAATGTTTTTGAGTATTGCACAAAGAACCAAAACAAATGAACGCACAACCAACAACACATGAGTCGAAGAAAATATGAAAACCAAAAGCAAAATTTACGTATGCCAAAAACAAATAAATAAAATCAACAATTTTCTTTGTTTTTTTTTAGTTTTTTTTTTTATAATTTTGATTATCTTCTTTTATATTTTCCATGTATGTAGGTCTCCCACTCAATACTTTATGATTAGAGTTAGATAATGCGTATATATACTTCATATATATATATATATATATATAAATATTGCATATGCTTATTAAACTTAAACTCTAGTTTTATAGCTAAACTCCGTACAAACTTTGCGTTCAACTTTTTCAACGGTTTTGCGTCTTTGTATCGAATACAAAAATACAAATTGAATTTTGCGTAGTCTTAGTCTCAATTAGCGGGTCGAACACGCGCTGCTGCCACTCACCCACATATATAAACGAATAAATCAAAAAGATGAAAACCCGGTAAACAACTTTACAAGACGAGCGCACGCGCGTTTGGTAAAGGAAATCTTCGATTCAATAATATTACGCATATGCGGCGTGCGCTCGCAGCGCGCGCACACGATAAATACTTAAGTGTTACGAATTGGTGTTGTCTCTTACAGTTTAAGCTGGTATTAAGCTATAATATACAGGTTTGTATTTAGAGCTAATTAGATTAGACTTAACGCTAGTCAGCCTCATTAATATTATAAGCTTAAATATTAGTTTTCATTATATTAATCAGACAAATTAACTAAGCCATTTGCTTTACTTAACTTAGACATTGAGAAGAACCGAAGACTAATTGAGAGCGTGTTGTTGATGTTTTTGTTTGCTTTTGCTAAATTTTGGTAAAGTTACGAATAATTCATATTTTTTGCATTTTTGTTGTTTTGTTTTTTGTTTTTTTTGGAGAAATTGTTTTTCTAAGGCGCAAAAGTAATTGTTGCAAAGAGCTGAAGATTTGCTTAGAGAAGGTTTATGATATAGTATATGTTGCTACATTATTAGGCTATGTATGTGTACTAATATTTATATTAATATATGCGTTTATTATGTACCTAAGTTTATGGTAATAATTATTGTGTTTCATAATACAAATACAATTGTAAATGTAAATGTGGACAAATGGAAACAGTCAAAAGCACCGATTTTCAGCTAAGTTGTTGTTGTTGTTCTTGTTGATTTTTTTTTTTTCTCTTCATATTTTCATCTTATTTTTTTTTCAGTTTTCACTAATCATAATAATCATATAATCATAATGATAATCTCTACGTGGCTAAGTAATTAATAGCTAAACACTAGTGAATGAAGCGGTTGCAAAATTTAACAGGCCTTCAAATGAATTAATTATTTATTACATATGTCAGGGTTTATTGTTATTGTTTTTTGTTTAATTATTTACAGTTTGTTGATTTAATTGTGTTTGCTGCTTTTTATAAAATACATACAAATATATAATAAATATTTATATTTATATTTATATATTTATATATAAAATACGTATTTGCAGTATTTTTTTTTATATTTTTGTTCATAAATTTATATTCCTTCTGCTTAAATTTGGAATTGTAAGCAAATATTTGTGTTTTGTTTTTGTTTTCAGTGCTAACGAAATTCAAATAAGGCAACTTGAATCTAATTGTTTATGTGTTATATATGTCTATGTATGCAATTGTAATTTACAACTCGCAACTCGAAAACAAATTTAAATGCATTTTTAGTTTTCACATCGAATCAAAATTGTTGTTTTTTTTTGCCGTTTTTATTATTTTGTTGTCTATAAACAATGCGCTCTGCTGCCACTTTGAATGCAAGTTTTTCACAATTAACAGCTTGAAATGATTTTCCAGTTGTTTAATATAAAATATTTATCAAAAATAATATGCCGTGTATTCTTTTCTATGTTTTATTCAATTTCAGTTTTTCCATTTTTTTTTTTTTTTTTTGCTGAGGGACTGCCAATTGTTGAGATCTAGTTTTTCATAGCGCGAAATGAGTTGGTTTTCTTTAATAAATTTTGAGTGGGTTTGTAGGGTTTTGTTTTGGGCCCGCCTGCCTATGTACAATCTAATAATAATACCGTTATGTGTGCTTGTGTGTGCTGCAGTTAGGTAACGTCTGTCCGCTTCCGTACGGTTCTCTTAACTTCTAGGTGTGTTGTTGTTGCTGTTGTATTGCACTTGAATTACAGTTACGGATACTTGAATGCCGGATCTACGTGCACTCAATGATCATGGGCTGGCTGGAGGACTCGATGACCGAGGGTCGATTCTCCTGCGTCTGCACGAGCGGCCCATGCAGATAGCCAGCGTCCGGCAGCGGCTTCAGCGACTTGGGCGAGTGCTGTGCCAGATGATGCGGTGGCCCCAGATGCTGCTGCTGCTGCTGTTGCTGCTGCTGCTGCTGCTGTTGCTGATGCGTTGGCGGCTGTCGGCCGGGCGAGGCCTGTGGCGGCTGCTGCTGCTGTTGCTGTTGCTGCTGTTGCAGGTGGTGTGGCGTTGTTGGCGGCGGCAGCTGATTGGCTGTGGTCAGCAGCATAGGCGGGCCGCCGTGTGGCGAGTGCATTAGGTGGCCCGGCGGCGCATTGCTCGCCTGCGCATGGGGCTGGTGGCCCTGCAGCTGCTGCATGTGCATGTGCTGCTGTCCATTGCCGCCCAGTGGAATGAGACGCGGCGGCGACTGAGCGCCGGCCAAATGACGCAGGCTCGGATGAACTGGATGCATATGCTGCTGCAGCTGCTCATAGGCCTCGCGCGAGTCCGGCTCCGGCAAATCCTTGTCTGCAAATGCAAAACCATTTTGAGCAACTGTTGAATGTGAAGCCGAGCCGAGCTGTGCTCTGAACTTACCCAGGCACTCGGAGGTGGCTGCCGCCGCCATGGCCAGTTCCTCCTCCAGATTGTTGGGCTTGCAGCTTGTGGTCTTCCAGTGCGTGCGCAGGCCGGAGGCGCTGATATACTTCTTGTCACAGCCCTGGCACACATATGGCCGATCATTTGTGTGGAGACGCTTGTGCAGCTTCAGATGGACGAATTGCGTAAACTTCTGCGGGCAGAGATCGCAGGCGTACGGCTTTTGGCCGCTGTGCAGCCGTAGATGCGTCTTCAGATTGGACGTGCTGGAGAAGCGCTTCTTGCAGATGTCGCACTGATGCGGCTTCTCGCCCGTGTGCACCAGATGATGCTTCTGCAGATGCGCCAGCTGGGTGAAGCTCTTCGTGCATACATTGCACTTGAACGGCCGCTCCCCGGAATGGGTGCGCAGATGCACCTTGAGATTGCTCAGCTGGCCAAAGGTCTTGCAGCACACATTGCACTCGTAGTGCATTTTGCCATCCTTCTTCTTCAGCGGATACGGTAGTGAGCGGTAGCCGCGCGAGGCCAGCGAATTGGGACTCAGGGGGCTGCCGCTGCGCGGGCACGAGTTGCCGTCCGGACTGAGACTGCTGGGCGGCGAGATGCGCAGCGGCGAGAGACGCTGCAGCGGCGTCAGCGGCTGCATCAGCGGATGGTTCAGCATTTGGGTGCTGCTCTGCAGCAGATGTAAATTGGAGGCGGAGCCGCCGCCGCTGGACGCGTTCGACTGGCGATCGAAGGGCGAGTGCGAGCTGTGCGGCGGAGAGTGGAACGTGGAGGTGGCCGCATGCATGGACTGCGCGCCCGGGTAGCCCACATAGCCGGCATAGCTGGGCGAATGGCTGCCCGGCTCGTAGGCGGCATGATGTGTCCTCGTCGGCGAATATATGACATTGTGATGATGATGCGAGGCGACGGGTGGCGGCGAACACTCGCCTTTGATCAGCGTAGCGCGGCTCAGGCTGAGCTCCTGCTCGCTCACAACGTGCGCGCCGCTCAGCTCCTGGGGCTGACCCAGATTGGAGCTGGAATCGGGACTGACGGCATTGCCATAGCGCTGCGACTTCTTGTAGCTGTAGGCCATCTCCGTGGGCGAGGTGGGCGGCGGTGTCGCTGCGTTCGCCTGCCTGCAGGCATTGGCTGCGGCGGCGGCGGCTTCCAGGCGATGCTGGCTGGTCAGTATGGTCTCCAGTATGCTCGAGCTGGGCTGGGTGAAGCGCACATAGCGCTCACCAGGTGGATCGGCCTCGTAGTAGGGCTTGCTTAGCGGCACAATGGTGCGCGTCTGGCCACCCGAGTTGTGCTCCAACACAATTACCGTCGAGGAGGCGGGCTGTGTGTTGGTTGGCTCCAGATGCTGCTGGTGCTGGTGCTGCTCCTCGCCTAGCGTTGTTGTGGTGGTGGGCGGGCACAGCGAGTCCTCGGAATGCGCTGCCGCTGCCGCCGCTGCTGCTGCCGCCGCCGCTGCCGCATGCAACTCGTGCAGCTCCTCCTCCTCCAAGCCGACGCCGGCTGGCGGCAGATGCTCATCCACGTCCTTGAGCGGTTCCGTTTTCACACAGCTCTTGTTTTTGAACTCGTACTTTAACGGCATTTTCACCTTGAATTTGCGGAACTCGTTCTTGTCCGACTCACAGCTGGGCGTGGCGACGGCGGCGACGGTGGGCGTGGTGGCTGGCGGCGTCACACTGCTGGGCTTTTGCGCCTGCGCAATGACCGTCTCCTTGGGCGCAATCGCCTTCTTGGAGCAGTCGAGCACATAGTTGTGCTCGCTCTCGCTGTCGCTGGAATCCTCCGGCGGCGTCAGGCCATCCTCCTGGCACTCGTTGCTGTGGTAGCCCTCATCGGAGCGCACCGACCGCACGCTGCCATCCTGCGGCGTCAGCTGATGCTCATAGTGCGCATCCTTGCCGCACAACGGCGACCCAGCCGTCTCCTTGTCGCAGCCGCTGCTGTTCAGCGGCGAACGATCCTGCCCAATGATCACGGACGCGTGCCGGCTGTGCTGTATATGCGGATGCAGCGAGTTGGAGCTGCTGCTGTTGTTGTTGTTGTTGTGGTTGCTGGTGGTGCTGACATGGGCAGGCGGACTGGCGCGTCGACAACATTGGGCAGCTGTTGTTGTTGTTGTTGGCGGAGGAGCAGCTGCTGCCGGCGGCGCACCTGGCAGATGGAGACCCATGACATAGGTGATGTGACTAACAGCCACCTCGGCGGGTATTTCAGGTGCGGCCATTGCATAATGGGGTTTCTTGTGCGCCAGCTCCTCGTCCTCATCTTCCTCCTCCTCGACATCCACGTCCTGCTTGCAGGCACCGAATATGGTGCGCTCCGGATCCACATCGTAGCCCAAGCGGCTGGCAAAATCCTTGCAATACCAGACCATCAGCTCCTCGTTGGGCAATATGTCGCGGGTGGTATAGAAATAGATGTTCTCCTGATGCTGGCACGCAACCAGATTCATGACCGACAAGCTGTACGCCGAGGCTACATAGCGCATCCAATTCGATTGGGAACGATCCGAGCCGTCCAGATAATAATAATCATCATCTTTGAAGATCTACGGAAAGTGATGAGAATAGAGAGACCGAGATTGGAGAATGCTGGATTTGATATTTTCCTTGGCAACAGCAACAAGTTGAAGATACAACAACACAGAAAACAAACTACAAAAGAGAGCAAGCGCAGTGCTTGCTGAGCGATAGAGACAGAGTGAGTGAGTGAGTGAGCGAGAGAGAGAGAGAGCGAGCGTGAGTGCAGATAGATTTAGTGAGAGTAAGCGATGGAGAGAGTGCGTTGAAGGGTCAAAGAGTCACAAATAAAACAAAGCATAAAGTGGTACCTTAATATTCCCGTAGGTTATGTGGCGTGTTCCCTGCACCTGATTATTTTTTTGTTTTTTTGATTCAAATTCAAATCCAAATCCGCAACAAAATGCAAAATTGTAATTTGGAATTTTTATAAATGGTTGATTTGTCGGTTGTATTTTGTAGTTGGGTTATATATATTTGTATAGTAATTGGGTTGTTTTATTATTTGTTTTTTTTTTTTTGGTTTTGTTTTTGATATGCACATGAAATTAAAAATTAAGAGAAACCAGTTGGTTAGTCGCATAGTTTTTGCTTGTTTCAAAAGGTAGCAAAATGCAGCAAATTAAAAATATGTTAACCATAGTTTTGTTTAAACAAAAACCAGTTAATGCCCATTAATTGATTGTGTGCTTACCCGCCAGAAATATCGCGCCTTATTCTTATCATTTGGATAATTTGAGGTTGGAATGCCTTCGAATGGGCCAAAGCGTGTGCCGCGCGGTATGACTCCGCTGCTCCAAACTCCTTCAGTCTGCACAGAGAGAGCGAGAGAGAGAGAGGGAGAGAGTTAGCTCTGTTTGATGGCTGAACACCCTCACATCCAGCGAGCTTTTGCGCTCTGCACTCACCTTAACATTTGGCGTTGAGTAGACCATGGAGGACTTGAGCGTCAGGCTGCGCGGCAGCGTCTTATCCGCACGATTGGGCAGGCCGCGCTCCGCCTGCACGTCGGGCACCAGATATACGGCCAGACGCTCGAAGTCCTCCTCGCGCATGCGCGTCACATCGTAATCCTGTGTGCCATCCGGCGTTGGACTCCGACTGCGACTGCGCGAGCGTCGCAGCAGCTTTGCATGATGATGTGGATGCTGTGCATGATGCGGATGATGCGGATGTGGATGCTGTTGCTGTATGGCTATGTGTGTTTGTTGTTGCTGCTGCTGCTGCTGCTGTGGATTGCCGGCCATCTTCATTGTGGCGGACATTTGTTGCACTTGTTGCGGCGGCGGCAGCGCCTGCTGCTGTTGCTGCTGCTGCGGCTGCTGTTGATGATGATGATGTCCATGCATTTTAAATTTACAGCTAATTGTTGTTGCTATTTGCTTCTTAATGCTAAGCTTAAGTGCGCTTTTGTGTTGTTGTATTGCTTAGGCTGCTAGCTGTTGTTGTATTTAAAGTTTCACTTGATCTGCAAAGATAACGGGGCGGGAGAGAGAAACAAAATAGAGCTTTAGTACGCGCTGTGAATGTTCTGTGCTGCTTTTCACTTTTTTTCTTCCAGGGCTATTAATAAATGCGTCACTCACACACACACACACATACACATACAGACGCATACACGCACACACTTCAACAGAGACAGGCAAAGCTTCGCCCACTCACTCAAAACTACACTCAAAAATGTGCCTCTATAAATGTGTGCGTGGGTTCGTGTGTGTGTGTGTGTGTGCCTGCAGTGTTGCATTCGTATTTCAATGGCGTCGTCGTTGCTGTCGTTATCGGGAAAATAGCGGCAAAAAGCGTTAACGGCGGAGCGTCGAGTGGCTTCGGTTCGACGCCGTCATCGTGCATGTGTGTGTGTGTGTGTGTGTGTGTGTGTGTGTGTGTGTGTGTGTGTGTGTGTTTGCATAGTTCAAGATTGCGGCCTTAATGGAGGTTACGCGTTCACGTTCAGGGGCATTCAGAGGCAAATCTCTTTCCCCACCAAAAAAAAAAAAAGTATATATATGCATATTCTTATCGAAGTTTAAGGCAAATCATTTGGAAACTCATTCAGAATTTGACACTCACGTGAGGCTGTTACGTTTTTTATTTTTGTTTGTTATATTTTTATTTTGGCCAACTGCTGTTTGTACTCTCGTTTTGCTGCTTTTTGCGCTTATTAATGACAGTTACTTTGTTCCAAATATACAAATTTGAATTCATATATTCCTGTGAATTGAGCCGCTGAATTCTTAATTTTTTTTATTTATATTGTTGTTGCTCGCACACTGAATAATTTCAATAATTTATTGCTTCGTTTCTTGTTGTAGTTGTTGTTGTTGTTGTTTGTTTTAATTTTTGGACTTTCGTGCTGGCAAATTACGCATCACTTTCTGTTTCGTTGCTGGTTTTCGTGCTCGATATATTACGCATACGCCGCGTTGACCAGCCGAAAAAGCTTACATTGTTGACTGCAGCCAGCAAATTTCCAGCAATTTTGAAAAAAATTTGAATTAATTTCTTAGAGTTTTAGCAATTTTCGGTTAACATTTGATTAATGTACATTGTTGAAGTTTGCGAACCGGCGGTGAGAATAACACCGTTAGCGAGAACAACCGACCGCACCGCATACCCGATTGCACTGAACCAGCTCACGGCAGCGACATCAGAAATATTTTGTGTTTTCCCGTTGGATTCTCAAACCCGCTCGCAAATCAAATTGCGCTCACAAATGCAGCTATGCGGAAATGTATAGCGGCAACAACAGCAACAATAGCTACAGTGGAGGGCAACAAAAATGCATCGGGCAACAAATGCAAAGAAAACAAAAACAAGAAAAACTAAAATTATTAAACTAATGTGCAAAAAAGTTTTTAGAATGAACGCTGTGCCCATCCACACAGACGCGGACCGAGTGTTCCTACTACTGACCCACATATACACAATATACATGCAACCGGCACAGGCGCCATGCTCAAAGCTCGCTCGCCTCTGCCTCTGCCGCTGCCTCTGCTGCTGCCGCTGCAGTTAGACTAGGGAGAGACCGCGAGCGACCCGGCATTACCAATGAATGCACTCACTCAGCTGCAGCAGCGACGGCAACGACGGCAGCGGCGCCAGCGCAGCCGAAAAAACTGTTTATCGCTCAAGTTTATTCAAGGGTTGCGCTTTTGAGCGTCATGCAAAAAAGCTTTCGCAGTTGCTTGGCGAATTCGTGCGGACTGCATTTCGCCGGGCGCTTTCAGCATCGGCGGGGCTGCTGCTACTTCCGCTGCTGTCGCTGTCGCTGGCGTCCCAACGGTGGTTGCAATCTAACGTTACTTTCTGTCTCTTCTTTGCGTGGTTTGTTTTTGTTTTTGCTGCGCCGCCGCTCAATCATAAACTTATTGTGCAAGGCTGGCAAAGGAATTGACGGCGGCAGCTTCCATATTGATGAGCCTCACATTTTCTTGCGAGTTTTTTTTTTTTTATGATGAGCTTGTGAGTTGCCTGTTAGTGGCAGACAATGCCACAAGTGTGCTGCATGCTGACAGCTATGGAATTCGAGATGTCCAATTATGTTGCCAGCTAGATGCAGCATGTCAATTAATTTAGAGCCTGCTTTACATAAGCATGTCCCATCATACAAAATATTACTTCTAAGCTGAGATCGTTGATTGGGCGAAGAAGCTTTAAAAAGCTATCAATCAAGCTAGCTATTGGCTGGCTGAGAGTTAGGTTAAGAAAGGAAACTTCTTAGTCTTAAGGCGAAACTGAACATTATTAGCATATTCCAGATTTTTAAAAGTATTCAAACTTATATTTTCAATTGCCTTCAAATCTATTGATTAAAGTAAGGCAAAGATTAAAATTCGCAAACGGTTCAAGCTTAAAGCTTTCCGTTGAGATCTCAGATAGCATAGGAAACATGAGTTATAAGATCTGCAACATATGTCCATATAAACCTGAATAGCTATTTTATATATATTTAGAGTCTTATCAGATATGCATTTAAGTTCTTTTGATAACAGCTCATTATTTACAGACCACTTAAGAATTGTAATCATAAATAAATATATATTTTTACTAACCAACAGCACTCACCCAATAGTTAAAGTGTTTTGCCATTGGCTTAACGGTAATTTACAATGATCGTATACTATTTTGTATTCCGATTTTTATATTTTGGGTCTTTGCCGTAACTAAATCTGTGAGCTACACGCACGTAGAATGCGAACTGCGGCGACGTGCAGCATAAATGAGAACTTTTTGCCCAGACTTTGGCAAATGGCAATGGCGGCAACAACACGGATGCAAGCACATCGACACAGCTACAGATACAGATGCTGTATCTTTGTGCATGTGTTGCCGTCTGGTTGCACTTGCACTTGCGTTGCAATTGTAAAATTGCACTTCGATTCTATTTTGATGACTGCGGAAACGTGCGAACACTTTTGGCTAGCTGCATGTGCGTGTATCTGAGTGTGCATGTGGGTGTGTGTTTGCATTTGTGTTGGCAATTGGCGCCAGCCGCGAAATAGTTATTCACTTTTTTTCTCAATCTCAATTTTATTCTTATTTAAGGTACTTTCGATTTTGCACTGCTCGGCAATAAGGGACTTCTTTCTATAGCTAACTTTCGCTGAACGTTAACCAAAATTGGATAATGCATTGCTCTGTCGCATCTTAACATAGAACAGATGCGTTATGGCTCTAGGAAGTCGTCGGCATAAAAATAAATAACAAAATAAACTAGAATAATTGTGTATGTGTGTGTATGTTGGTGTGTGTGTGTGTGTGTGCAGATAGTGCGCCAAAAGCTTTTCGCTATCGCTATGAAAATGAAAATAAACAGCTGCACACACACTCACACACATCCACAAAGATTAATATGTTTACATGAGTATGTGTGTATGTGTTTATAAAGAGTTGCCTGCATTAGAAACAAAAAGTAAAAAGCTCAACGCTTTGCGTTTCTAATCATCGCACAATTGCATTTGAAGGACACGAGCGCAACGAGCGTAGGGCAGGTGGTGCGAACGGTTGGGGGCCCAGCGGGAATTGAACGCGAAATTTGCTTAGAGAGTGGCGCAGTAAATTAAAAATAAATAAGTGCCGCACAAACGCACACACACACGCACAACTGCACACTTACACGAACACATTTTGTGTACACAATATCATTTCGAAATAGTTGGCAAAACCTATGCATACCCTGCAATTGTTATAAGTAGGTTAAGAAAATACCAACAGAAACTGATTTAATATAATTATTTTGAGCTTAAAAATTTGTTTGAGATTTTAATAGAAAAACTGAAATATTTGCATACCCTACAATTGACATAAATAGTTTAAAACATTTAAGAAAAAACAAATAATTAAAATTGAGCTCAAAAATATGAAATGTTTTTACATTGTAAACTGATTTTTTGATTCTGATATTTGATAGAACTCATGCATACCCTACAATTGACATAAATATGTTAAGTAATAAAAAAAATATATTTATTTTTTTAAACACAATAAATTTAGACTGAGCCTTAAAAGCTTATTGAAATTGAGCTCAAAAATATATATTAATATATTAATTGGAAATTATTGTTAAGTTCTGATTCACTTAAACGTTTCACATGCCCGTTACACGCACACTGACTAATTCAATATACCCCATAAGCTTTACTTAGACAACAAAAGTAGCCATAAAAACGATTAGAAAATTGTCAACCGAAACGACTCGTCGAGTTTAACATTCAACTTGAACGCAGGCGACCCGCTGACGTTGCCGTCGTCATCATCAGCGTCGTCTCCGAGTGCATTTGCATTTTGATAAGCTTTTGCACATTGCGCATACGCCGTGTGTTACCGCCGCCTGTGGCTGCGTTAGCTATGCGCCCGACCATGTTCTTATGCATATAGTATACATATACATATGTATACATATATTTATATGTAGATGCATTTCTATATGTACGAATTGTCGTCTGAGTATTGATGCAATGCTCATAATAATTTTGTTATTCTAGACTGTGAAAAACTTCCGCAACGTCGTTGACGCTGCATCGATCTTTATCAAATTGCAATGGGGAAGCGTTGCGAAACGAAACAAAATGCAACAAATGCAATTACAACAACAATATTCAACAATAAAAACCAAACGTCGATATTTCGATTCAAGGACAAGTGCGCGATAGGCAACGCAAACTGTACTAACCGCAGCCCATATACTACCTATATATATACATATATATATATATATATATATATATATATAGATATATATATATATATATATATAGATATATATATATATATATATAGAGTATTACTGATAACTGCTGCAACAAAGGCCATAAAATGTCCGCTTACATAGCGCCGTCTCGCTCGGGCTGGTTGGGTGTCAGGGCTCAGTGGGTGGCCTTGCGAATAGTGCTATCTAGGAAATCTACGCATATCTGTTGGGTAGTCTCAATGAATAAACAAATTTCACGATGTATTTATAAGTGCAAT